GACGTCCTTTGTGGACAACCCCTATCCTGAGCCGTGATTTGTGAATGCCCTCTTTTTGGTTAAGCCTCTGCCCATAACTCACCACCACCCCCCACTCCCCGGCAAGGATCGATTTCTTAAAAAAAAAAAAACAACAACAAATACAAAAACTTTGACATAGTGCAAATCCTGTCCCAGGCGCATTGTGCAATGGTTTCTGTGAGAAAACGTCGTGTTTTACCCTGAGAATAGCACATGCCATGCCATTCTGGAAACAAATTACGTCATGAAAAGGGTAAACGCAGACCTATGGCTTTGCTATACAGTTTGCTACCGCTCCGCAAGTTTCTAAAATCGAGGTGTTTTCAAAAGATTTGCTGTGAGACTGAGTGTTGTGAATGAACCTTTGATATCGTGTGTACATTTTGCCAATGCATAAGGCATAGTGAAAGCAAGATGGTTCAAGGTTGAAATACGACCATGCACATTAATATTCATATGCATGAATATTATTCATACTGGTATTTTCTTTGGTTGTTCGTAAAAGTAAAATGTAAATATTCAACTATACGAAGAATGTTGAAATACAATAGAATATCAGTCACTTAGTATTCATAATGTTTCTGTTATACATGATCATCATGTATTACATGCGCTTTCAGAAACTTTAAGTTTGTTTTCAAATGTCTAAAGTCTTATTACTAAAGTTACCGGTATTTTCAAAGTCAAAGGCCGGCACAACTTGTTGAAACACTTATATATATAAATAAATATATAAAGTGTATTTAATATAATATTTAAACATATATTTAAATTGTTTCAATTGCTACAAAATACTTTAAAACTAAAATGGGAGGAAAAAAAACTCGATCCCCTACTGAGAATTGATCTCAAACTATATTATCACCAAGCGTCCACTCTACCACTTGACCACACAAGATCCTCTCCAACAAGTATATCTTAAAACCAGGCCAATGGTAAATTTTTGCCGCGGTGTACCCAGGCCAAAGCCCACGATTTCACTAGGTACACAGCCGCGGTTTTACGCAGGCCAAAGCCGATGGTTTCGCTAGGTACACCGCCGCAGTGTACGCATCCACTTCGTTTATACATTCGTTTGGTCACGTGACGGTTATGACGTATACTTCCTGTTGGTTTGCCGTCTGCCATCTTAGATTTATTATTAATTATTATCAATCGAGAAACGTGCCACTATTTTGAAGATTTTCATGTTTCATGTGCCATTGAAGAAACACGAAGAACAATATTTGACGTACAGCTAAAACCAAGTAAGAATACGTTTATGTTTATAATTTTATTGTATTTTTAAATTCTATTTTAAATATAGTTTTATAATCATTAACATGACATCAATCAAGATCAAAGTTGCTTTTTTTTTTTTGGTGGCAAATCGGCTACTGCCTTATCTGTAATTGTAATGAAAATTTTGGCTGCGGCTATTCGGACCCGGTATCAGAAGTGGATACTTCAATTTTAATTCACCGCAAAAATTATTATTATTCACACTTCCATTAAAACAAATGTTCTTTTGAATAAAAAAAAATTCGAAGTCGAAGAGATCAGCCCGCGGCCGCCATCTTGGTTATCGTGACCCACGAACTTATGTCCTAAATGTATCCCTAAACTAACCTGAACCCTAAATGTATCCCTAAACCTAACATGAGCCCTAAAATGTATCCCTAAACCTGATCAATCTGAATTAGCCTAAAAAACTTTTAATTAAAAAATTATTGTACATTATTTCACATTTCCATTAAAACAATTCACACTGCCGCAGTCACTGCCAATAAAACAACGAAGTGTCTACACGTCCGGCTGGCACGTCAAGTGACCGCCGGACGACTAGTAATAGTAGTCGTTATTATTCCGAACGAAGTGGTTACTGGAAGATTTTGTGTGGTCTTGTAGAGCGGTCGCTTGACGATATTATATTAGTAATATTAGTGGATCAATGCCCAGTATGAGTATGAGATTGTTTTTTTTTTTCCCCATTTTAATTAAAAATATTTTATATTATATTTATATTATGTTCATCAGCAACAGTAGTTTCATGAGAAGTTTTTAACTATTTTGTAGCAATTTAAATAATATAAAATGAAATCCTTTACTTTTATTGGATGAATGCCTACTCCATACTGGCCCCTAATTTATTTTATGGATTACTCATTTACTGGTACACAAACTCAAATAACAAACTAAACAAAAATGTTTACAAGCCACTTTCACTATTTTTTTTCTATTATTTGCATTCAAGATACTCAGTACATTACTTGGTAGTGAAATATATTTTAAAATAAACAATAGTTGTGAATCATTCGCGGTCACGTGACAAGGCTGGTCAAGATATCTCTCGCCAC